AAACAAACTGAGGGTTCTAGAGGGGAGAGGGGTGGGGGGATGGGTGGGCCTGGTGATGGGTATTAAAGAGGGCATGTATTGAATGGAGCACTGGGTGTTATAGCAAACAATGAACCATGGAACACTACATCAAAAACTAATGATGTAATATATGGTGATTAACATAACATAATAAAATTAAAAATGCAAAAAAAGGAAAAAAAGAACCTCTGTAACAAAGACAAAAAAGGAAAAAAAATCAAACCCAAGTTTGCTATTTTAGCAATTGGACAAACTAGATATCAAAAATAGAAGGAAAGAAAGAAAAGAAAAGAAATAGCAGCCACAAAAATCTAAAACCTGCCTTTGAAAAACATATAGAAATATGTGATAAAATATAACAGTCCTCTTTTCAAACTCATAACTGTGCTTGCAAGAAAATAAGACAATTATGAGGGACTAGAAATAGAGGAGTATGTGAACACTGAAGCCAAAGCCATCCTGGGCAGGACGGAAGGAGGATCTGAGACCCCCTCCTCAAGAAGCCAGAACTCTCAAAGGGCTACGCCCCACCCCCGGTTAAAGGGTGACCCTAGAGAGCATTAGGCAACATCTCGTGAAACTGAAGACATGCACTCTCTCTACCCAGAAGCTCCATTCCTTCCTGGGTATCCTGGGAGACCTGCACGGGAAGGCTCCTGGCAGTGCCATCCATAACAAAACTTTAGAAACAATCTAAATATCCATTGTCAGGAGAATGGAGTGATCACGTTGGCATCTTCATACACTATTATTAATCAAAGAGCGTGAAAACAATTGAACAAGAGGGGCACACACCAACATGGATGAATCTCACATATAATGAAGGAGCATGTTTCAGAAGAATCAATACGTTCTACTATTTACATGCATTTTATAAACGTTTATCTGTTCACTCATATTTTATTAAGTGTTACTATAAATATTCTATACACATTTTCATTTCTGTATTTCCACTATATCTATATAAAATATATAGATAGCAAAAACTTGTATGTATAAATACAAATATAGTGAATGCATAAAGAAATGAATGGGAATTGAGAAACACCCCACTTGGCTGGCAGCTCCCCCAGGGTGGGAGTAGAAGAAGGGGAGGCAGACATGGAGCCTCAACCACATTGGGCACGTTTTCTTTCTCACATGGTGATGAGTACGTGGGTGCTTATTTCATTTTTCACAAAACTTGTTTGTATGTCTAAAATATTTCATAATAAGCTTAGAAAAGAAGTCAAGTAACTGATTTTACCTCTACTCGTAACCATTTTCCTTTGCAGTGGAAGAGGCAGACTTTCCCACAGAAGGGTAACGAAACGAAGTACTCGGAGGTCATGTGCTACAAAACAGAAATGCAGGACACTTTTATTACTCTTAGTAAGGAGCGGACTGCTACACCGTTAGAAAAACATCGCTGTGGCTCAGGCCGACCAGTGCACGCGTACTTAGCCAGGCTCCCCATGAGGAGTGCGCGGTGGTGCGTATATGAGGGTGATGGTCTGTCCTGTTTCTCAGACATTTGTTGATGGCACCGTCTACTCTCCCTCCTTGCACACAGCTCATAAATCAGCCCTGTTAAAATGTCTACAAACGTTAGTGTGCAGGCCAGTATGATTCATCCACGCACTAATGCCATCAGTTAAACATGAAGAGGGAGGATGAATCTGCCAAAAAGGAGGAGAAGAGCCTGGATGAAAGTGAGGTTGGGCTAGCCGTCCAGAAGGCCTCTTCTTTTCAACTTTTAACATTTAGATTCAAAGATGAGATTTTACTTCCAAAACAAAAGAAATGTTATCCATACAAATAGGGATATCAGTGCCAGTGAAATGTCAACAAATCACAGCCGTAGACCTCTGCACCCTCATCTTTGCTGTAGTTTGAAGCTGGGGACCTGCCATGGTCTCTCTTGTTCAGGGCGAATGTTTCTACTCTCCCCAAAGGCAATGTCTCCACTCAGGTTACCAGTGCACTAGGGACTAGCAAGAGAGCTTTTCACCACCATAGGTAAGAAGCACATGCATGCAAATGAGTCACTGGAGTCAGCTTCTCTGGATGTCTCTGATTTCTCCAAGATAGATTAGCAAACCAAACTTCAGTAATGACCCTGAGATACAGCTAAGACATCTGGAATGCAGAAAGAGGTAAAGCTACAGATCTAATGCCTCTGTTCTAGGCTGTAGTCTGAATACAAGTTTAACCTGATTCAGCAAATATTTTGGAATACCTATTCTATGTATGACACTAGATTAGATACTCTAGTACCTAAATGAATTAGGTACTTAGCAGTACCTGGTAAGGCTCTGCCTCTGCCCTCAAGAAGCCTATACTCTGGGTAAGGCAAACAAATATCCAAATAGCTAAACTACCATGCTGCAGATGATGCCAAGAGGCACGTTCAGAGGTTAGAGGGAAGGGTTCACTTCTAGGGGCAAGGGGGTCAAGACTGAGGTGGTATTAGGGTTTACTCACTCAAAACCACAGCATATTCTGAATTACAACTATAATGCCCTAATGGAGGTAAGAACATCACCTTAGAACCTTACAACAAAACCTCTACAGACCCTGATTCAGAAAAGAATACTAGAATCAAAGGGTAAGGAGCTTATTAATAAATTTAAACACAGAACCACATTTACCGAGGTGGTAGGTTCTCAGGGACCAAAAAGAGCTTGGAGAGTGATGCCTAGAAGTTTTATTCTCCTCCTAAACTCCAGGGTTTTGTCTTTGCCCGAGGCAGAGGACCCAGCTGGCTCTAGCAGACAAAGTCACAAGCAGCTGCACTGTAGCATCATCAACTCTACCTTGTAAATCATGAATCTGTCAGTTGCTGAGCACTTACTCCGTGCCAGGCACTGTGCTAAGCAGTCTTGCCACTAGTCCTCACACCAGTCCTATGGATGGATATACACACTATTATTATCCTCATTTCATAATGCAGAAACCAGTGGGTTGTTTTTTTTTTTTTTTTTGTCTTTTCAGTTCTGCAGTCTGGGGCTCTTACCCACCATTCTACAGCTTCTACCTCAAACTATTCAAAAGTTACACACAATTATACTAGTTAGTGACCCCTCTTGTTTGCAATTTTAGGATTAATTTTAGAGGTGGATGATGCTCTGCCATACCTTACAATGGAAGTAGTCCTCTATCTTATGCAGAAGATCGTTGAGCTTGTTCAGACCTTTACAAGGCACCTGGCAGTAGAGTGTGCCATCAGAGCAAATATTAGTCACTCTGACATTTGTGTACATAGCGTCAATCTGGAACAAAGGACACGCCAAGGATACTTGAGAACAGAGCGTAGCTCTTATCTACTTAAGGGGTATCTACCTCAATCATCTCATTTGTCTTTGCATTTTAAAACCTTTTAAGTAAGCTGGAGAGCAGACTGGATGACAGAATAATGTGAAAAACTCATTTGGATACCTCTCTTTCCAAAAGGAATATCTGACATCATTGGGTCAGACACAAAGTAGTTTGCATACATTAACTTATTACCGCATTTCATTACCTTAAAGGCTAAGAATATCTTTCATTTTGGTTTATTTTCCCCCCATTAATTTAGAGAAATCATTATTACATAAAACATATTTTTGCAACATTAACGGAAATGAAAATTAAAAACTCTCACAAAATCAATCCCATTATCAGCCTACTTTCTAACCTATGTTTATCGGCCACATGAGTTTTAGTAATTTTTAAAAGTTATAATCATAGTAAAGCCTTAATTTTGGCCATTTTTTTAGTCAAGCCATAATATAAAGACAATTCACTGTTGTTCTACCTATTAAACAAATGTTTTCCCAGTGTTGCCACAAAGTCTTTACAATGACCATTTTTAACATCCTATTCTTCAGAGTGGCTGTTCTATAACTTATTTAAAGATTTCCTTCTTTGAAGAAATTTGTGTTTTTCACATTTTAAAACTGTAAAAGCTAACAATTTAATAAACATCTTCATGGATCTAATTTTCCCTTCTTTTGTATTATCCGCCCCTATTATCTTTGCAAAATAATTTCATATAAAATACAATTTTAGTGTAGAAACTGGAATATAAAATGAAAACCCAATTCTTAATAATGACTGCTTATGTTTTGGGCTTATTTCCCCCCCTTCAAGCACCCCCCTACCTTTTTTCCCTCCATACACAGGTGATCTGTCCCTATCTATTGCTAGCCTAAAATTTGTAACATTCTTTTCCAATAACTTTCTTCCCTACAGTATGTGTAACAGATGACTATAGTGGTCACCGTGCTACCTGAAGGTGAGCCTCCAGAGACTTGTCGCAGATCGCCTTTAAGCAGGTGGCATTAATATTGACGTCATCTTCTCCTGAGGTGTCGTATAGGACAACAAGCGGGATATCCGCTTTTTCAAGTATTTCCACTGCAAAGATCTTTCCACAAGTTAAAGATTCAACCACCTTTACTAAATCAGGATCATCACTTAAAACTTCCAACCCTAAAAAAGATTGAATATTTTAATTTCTACTTAATTAGCAGAATCATTTTAAGATGGAATGGGTTTGTTCTGGCCACTTATTATAATTGTGATTCTACTACAAAATTCTTACAAAATTTTCTAGGGAAGCGTTGTTTTACAATCTTCTTCACATTACCCATCCTTAGGTCTTAAAATACATATTATAGTGTGAATGCCCTTTTAAATGATTACACAAAGGCAGGCAATCTTAAAACAAAAAGAAAAGTTGATGACCTATCAGAATTTGTACCTCAGGAAAATGGCCTTCACTTATTATATACAAACACATATTCAAACCAAAAAGACTAGTATATATAAGAAGCTATCAATCAGTTATGTCTGCCAGTCACGTATTTGTAATGTTTTTCCTAAAAATTTACCCTTGACCTTTTTCATTTTTTCTAATTAAATAGATAATTATTCATATAAAATGAACATGCATACATTGGAAATTTATAAAATCACTTTTTTCCTTATTTCTTCTTAAGTACACCATGATGATTCTGAGTATACCAAAGAACTTTGTGATTTATCAAAGAAGGATTAAATTGTATGTAACATAATATGGGTATTAGGCGAGTTTTATTATAGTCTCATTACTCTTTAAATTCTTTGAAAATTGTAATTCTATGTAGCATATACATGATAACTCTAAGTTATTCTATTAAACTAATTAAAACTAACTTATTTCCCCAGTGGTGCTATAAGGTCCATTTCTGTATTCCTCCCCTTGAAATCCATAGCACAAGTTCACAGACTCCCTCTGGGCTACCTTTCTCTTGTTCTCATTCTGTTCTTTAGACACGTAACATTACAGCTTTTACCAAACCTCTCATTTCAGCATCCTAAATCTTGGCCTGTGTTCTTGATATGTTCGTTCAAAACTAGCTCCCAGGAGTTTGTAACAGGCTTCTAACATCACTTCAGATTTATCTCACAGACAGAGCCATACCCAGCTCGTCTGATAGATGCATCCTTGCTGAGAAGGAGGTATTTCTGTGGGCTAATTTTCATGAAAGAACGGCGATCATTTTCTGAATCTAGCTCAGGCTCTCCTGGCATGATGCTTACACACTCCCATGTCTTTCCTCGTACGAACGTGGCCACCGCATCCTCCATGGTTGGAGGTTATCCCTACCATGTCACTCACACACATGTGCCGGAGACGCACAAGGTGTGTTACTTGCTAATGAGCAGCACCCAGAGCCCACCTCAGTGGGAAAGAAGTGGAGAGTCCAGGTCAAACAACAGGATTCAGACTGATCAAACCCCATGATACAGGGGCTCTAGCATTGTTGCTAGGGCAGTTAGAACAACAACAAAACCTTTAAGATGGCCAATACACATTTTTATAATAAAATATATATAATATAAAATAAAATATTAAAACATATTTACAATGATCACACCTTATAAAGAGGACATTAAGGACATTTTAGGATTTAACTACCCAAAAGTACAGTGGTAATAATGTATCAAAGTGGAGAGAACTTTAAAAAAAAGTTCCTCTTACCTGCTAGCTTACACTTTGTAGCTTGGAATGAGAGTGAACAGAACTTTGGGTTCAATTTGTATGCTTTGCTCTTTTCAATATTTTCACTAAAACCATAGTCAACATAGCATACCTGATGATAACAGAAACATCATTTAGGTTCAAATAAAAAAAATTTTTTTTAAAGATTTTATTTATTTATTTGACAGAGAGAGACATAGC